GGCCACCCACATGATCTGGGGACAATAGGGCAGACCCTACAATGAGAGACTGCGGAACCTGAACCTGTTCAGCCTTCACAAGAGAAGAATGAGGGGGGACATGGTGACTGTCTATAAACTCACTAGGGGGGACCAGAAGAGTTTGGGAGAGACCTTGTTTCCTCTAGCGCCCCCTGGCATAACAAGGAATAACGGCCATAAGTTGTTGGAGAGTAGGTTTAGATTAGACATCTGTAAGAACCACTTCACAGTTAGGGCAGCTAGGATCTGGAACCAACTTCCAAGGAAAGTGGTGCTGGCTCTTTAAGAAGAGTCTTGATGCCTACCTGGCTGGAGTCATCTGAGCCCAGTTTTTCTCCTGCCCAGGCAGGGGGTCAGACTTGAAGGTCTACAAGGTCCCTTCCGACCCTACTTCTATGATTCTATGAACACTGAGCTCACAGACAATGTATCTTGCTTTCTTTTCTTGAGCCATTAGAAGCTCAGTTATGCCTTACCAATATTTCTTTAAAGTTTCCATATGTATAAACCACTTAGTCTGTTTTGTTGCTGTTGCTGCTGTTGTTTTAAAGTCAAGGCAGCTCATTTTGAAACTATTGCCTTTATATTTTAAATATATTTTAAAATATATTATATATATTATAATTAAAATAATTTAACAATCATGAGTGTTATTCAGTTTCTATGCACACAGAGCAGTAGGAGCTTGATAAAAGAATGCAAAACAGAAAAACAATGATCTCTAAAAAAATTATCATTTTCTATTCTACAGAATTAAAAGGCTCATAATATATAAAGGATTTGTAAGAATAAATGTGCTATCCTATCGAACAGCAGTCTAAGTTATGATATATGCTTCACCACTCCTGTGTTTTCATAAAGGAATTATTTTAACAGATGCCTACACTGTTTTTTATTACATACCCTGTTTTATGTATGCTTGAACATATTTTATTCCTGATCCTTCAAAACAAGCACTTGACAGATTTAGGTACGTCTATAGTGTCAACTTCAACAGCAGCAATGTTATGAGAGTTTGCCTTGGGTGGTTGTTTTGCTTCTGTTACCAAAATATTGCGCCTCTACTGTTATTGTGTTCTCTGTTTTTGAGTGAATTTAACAATTATAGTCTTTTTTAGAAAAAAAGATAAGTACAAATCAATTTTACAGTTCTGTTTGTGTTCGTATGCAACTAATGTAGAGGCAAACCATAAC